TTGGCCTCTCAACTTCCCAGGCCTTTGAGGGTAGGTTTGCATATACTTATTCACCTCAGAACAGTGGCTAAATGGAGAACACATTAAAGTCATTGTAGAAAGATGCACCCACAAAAAGTAAAAATATGTCCTTGATCGATTAAAAAGGCACTAACTTATCCTCTACAAACTTCTTTAAGTACTCATTAGACATTTCCTAAGCAAGAAATCAACTTTTAAAATGTCAGTAACTTAACACAATAAAATGTGTTTGTTACTAGAGATAAGACTTATGTAAATGCTAGATTCTGTCAAGGGCATAACCAAGTGTGGAACTCAGATTGTATGATTGTGGAGTCCAAGATAGTAAGCCTTAGGCCATCCACTCCCGGGGCGCTGCGTGGCCATTGCCTCGGTTTTCCGTGGTGTGGCCTCCGCGGCCGCTCCAGGGCGAAGCGGAGCGCGGCCCGCCAAGGAGGCAAGAGTTGGCGCGGGCTTCGGGTCGCTCCCCTCCCTCGCCACTTGTGTCCCGCAGGTAGGGGCTGCCGGCCGGCGCTGGCGCCCCGGGCTGCGGGGCTGGGGTGGGGACGGCGGCGAAGAGGGGGCAGGGGGGAGGGGCGGGAAGCCTGGGGCTCCCGGAGGAGCCGCAGTGCCCGAGCCGGGACGGCCTCTTGCCTCCGCCTGCCTGTCCTCTGGCGCTGGTTTCCTGCATTGGCAGCGAGACCCTACCCAGGGGCAGCAGTGACGGCAGCGACTTGGAGTGAACACATTGCTTTGTGGTGGCGCGTCAAGGGCTCAAGGTGTGTGTGTGTGTGTGTGTGTGTGTGTGTGTGTGTGTGTGTGTGTGTACGTACGTGTACGCGCGCCTTCGTGTGTGTTCGCCCTCAGGACTAATCAGTGCATTGGTTCACCTGAGCAGAAAGTCGGCTCTGAGCTGAAACCGCAGGTGGCCCTTTGGCCCCTGCATCGTTTGGCTTGTGTCCCAGCGACGCGTACACACGGTGCCAGCAAGGGGTAGGGGTGACGGAGGGATTTGTGAATGGTGCTTCTCTGCGCGTGGAGGCTGAGCCCTGCTGATGTAAAGGAGGAGGTATCCAGAGTGAGAAGAAAGGCTATTTATGGCAAAGAGTTGTGAGATTTCTTGGGGTTTCCTTTAGTGTACATCCTGAGCTGCTCGCTCGCGCTCTCTCTCGCTGTCGTCCTTACCTCCCTCAGTTAATAGCAATTTATTATTGTTATTATTTAACCCTTCTTGTGGTACCTGTAGTATGACATGAAGTCAGAAAATCACTCATATTTTTACAGTTAGAAAAATAAATGCTGCTTAGAAGTTACAGATTCCTTGCCCTTTAATGTCCCCATTCTCCACCTCTGTTTCCTCTTTAGGCTGTCAGTAGAACCCATGAGACAGAAAATACCTACTTGGTTTAAACAGCTTTCATTTTGGAATCTTTACAGTTGAATACCTTCCTACCGAAATGTAACAGACATCGTCCATTACCCTCGCCCCCAAGGGCTATTAACGATAATGTACACACCTTTAACTTAAAGCTGGTTTTATTAAAAAGTGTTGGGGAGAATGGAGGAACAGACACCTAGGTGGGTTTATTACTACTGATTCCTTAAAAACTAGTTATCCAGAGAAGACCTAAACAGTTTACCTAGGCTACAACATAATTTGTTTGGGTTTCTCTATTTGCTTTATAACAGGAACAAATTCCAAAGACATAACTTGAAGCTCAGAGATGACTTGGGACAGTGCCTATTACGATGCTTTAGCAAATTACTGTTTGTTTTTAAAAGTAGCAACCTTGGCCGGGTGCAGTGTCTCACACCTATAATCCCAGCACTTTGAGAAGCGAGGTGAGAGGATTGCCTGAGCCCACGGGTTCGAGACCAGCCTGGGCAACTTGGTGAGACCTCATCTCTACAATTAATAAAAAAATTAGCTGGGTGTGGTGGCACACGCTTGTAGTCCCAGTTACTTGGAAGGCTGAGGTGGAAGGATCACCTGAGTCCAACAGGTAGAGGTTGCGGTGGCCGTGAGCATGCCACTACTCCAGCCTGGGTAACAGAGTGAGACTCTGACTCAAAAAAAGAAAAAAAGTAGCAACGTGTGCTTTTATAGAACTGGGGACTGAGTTGTCATAGTAGAACAGTATCCATAATATTTTAAACTAAGTTGTCTTTTAGTGCCTGCCAACACAGTGTTTTTAAAATATTGAAACTTCACTTTGTAATCCTTTCAATAATTTCACAGAGAAGAAAGAGAAGTAAACTGGTCAACCTATTTTCAGAGTGTTTTGTCTTCATTTGATATTAAGGAGTTGCTTATTTTGATCAAAACAAACCGTTGTTTGTTTTTTTTCCTAGTGTGTACATAGCTGTCTTTAACAGTTGAAAGACAAAGCAGTTAAGGATTTGATATTTTGATTCTATTAGTTTCATATTAGTTTAACATACACTTTCAACATTGGAACATGCACAGCTTTATTTATTAGTTTAGAAGTTAGATGGAGAACCCCACTCTGAGGGCTGTTACTTTAGCTATCTTGAACTATATTGAAACATAGAAACAATGGGGAATTTAAAAATGTAGTTGGCGAACTATTACTAACATCGTTAAAAGTCATATTTATGAGTATTTTGTTCTTTGATACTGTCAGAGACTCAGCAACTGCTATTATTTGAAATAGATTACTTATACCATCAAATGTTAATTCATGTCAAACTCATAAAGTAGAACATGACAAATATATTTTTATGGTAACATTTATTCAGCTCTTCATTGTATTTTCATAATACTCATACTAAAGGATCGTGTGCAAGTTACTGTCTAGCCATTGTGGAAGAACACCAGGATCCCTTGTTCCCTGTCCTTCAGGAACTTACCATTTGGGAGGAATCTGAACACATAGTTAACTACCCACGACAATAAGAAATTGTATGTCTAATGAGTCCTACAGTAGTCTGGAACATGACAACAATAGTTAGGCTTGCTTGGTCTTGATCTTGAAAGTTAAGGAGGATTGCTAGATTGTGAATAAGAGAAATATAAGCTACACGGAGTCTGACACTTAAGGTTGCAAACTTGCCACCCTGTGCTTATATTGGCAGCACTGTACAAACAATGCAGTAAGGTTTCATAACCTTGGTATGTCAGTGTCTCACAGGTGTGTTCAGGTCGACATATTGTGGTATCTTGCTAATTGTAGCATTCGTTATTACTGGATGTTTTTGTGTGCCATCGCAAAATGTTGGAGCTTGAATCGGAGTAATGAACAAACATTAAATTTCTTGTGAAACTTGGCAAGAGTGGAAGTGAAATCAGGGACATGTTAGTCCAAGCTTATGGAGATAATGCCATGAAGAAAATGGCAGTGTACAAATGGATTAAATGTTTTTCTGAGGGAAGAGAAACTGATGACGAGAAGTCAGGATGGCCATTAATGAGTAGAACTGACAAAAACATCGCAAAAATTCATTGAATTGTGTATCAGAATCGTCAGCTGACTGTTGATAGAGAAACAGTTAAGTAAATCTTATCTGAAAATCTTTGCCATGAGAAAGGTGTGTGCAAAAATGATCTGGAAGGAGCTCTTGCATCATGACAAAGCACCAGCTCACACAGCACTGTCTGTGAGGAAGTTTTTAGCCAGTAAACAAATAACTGTTTTAGAACACTCTCCCTACTCACCTGATCTGGCCCCCAGTGACTTTTTTCTTTGCCCAAAGATAAAGGAAATATTGAAAGAAAGACATTTAATGAGATTCAGAACATCAAGGATAATATGATGAGAGCTCTGATAACAAACCATGCCGGAAAAAGAGTTCCAAAATTGCTTTGATGGGTGGACAAGGTGTTGGTATCAGAGCATAGCTTCTCAAGAGGAGTACTTTGAAGGTGACTGTAGTGAGATTCAGCAATGAGGTATGTAGCACTTTTTCTAGAATGAGGTCATAAACTTAATTGTCAGACCCCATAGGATGCAAGTCTCCTGGAATTATAGCATAGGTAGGAAGATAAGTTTGTTGAGATGGTGTAAGATATTACTAGATATTGTGCAAAGTGCAGAGTGAATCTGTCTTTGATGTATGTCATTCTATCCATTCTGTTCTAGTCTATTGTCATTATATCTGTACATGAGAAGACAAATCTTTAACTTTGTATTGTATTGTGATATACAATATGTACTTGTACTACTACAGTAGTATAATAGAGTTTTTGTAGAGAATATTTACTCTAAATATTTAAATAGACCCACATCACATTAATGTATTGGGTTTGGTATTAATAACAAGGTGGTGTGAGTACCACCACTTTAGAGTGAGAAGTTTTGGGCATAAACTTAACCAAACCTTTTTAGGTTGCTCTGAAGTGTGATGTGTAAAACAATAGTATCAATAGCATTCATTGAATATTTAACAGTTCATTCTTCATATAAAGTGTGCAGCCCACTGAATAACGTATTTTCTATAATATTTGCTTTTAAAGTTGCTGTATTTAGATTGAATTAAATTGAATAAATCTATTAGATTTGATTTTTGAAGTTATTACATGTATCGACATAATAGTTAATCTATCCTTACGTTATTTGCCATGAATATAGATCTGTGATACTGGGCCTGTGAGGAACTTTTTAGAATTGTAGCAACAATTTTAAGGACATTTTAGCTATGCTCTGATAAAGAAATTGTATTAATAATAAAAATGATAAAATAAAAAATAATAAACAATGACTTGTCTCTAGTCTAAAGTTATTCTTTCTTTATATGTATTTATACACATAGATATATACATATATGTGTGTGTGTGTATATATATATATATATATATATATATGTTACTCGTTTTTAGACAAACTGTTTAAAATGCATTTCTTCATTTCAAGAACACAGGGAAACATCTGAATTCACTTTGAGTTTATCTAGTCAATATGACAACCTAGATGACAATAAAGAAATTGTATAATTATTAG